ACGCAACACGGCACAGCCAACAGAATGAGCTGTAATTTGAGAGAGGAGTCCAACACTAGGAGAGGTCAAATATTCCTGTTAGTTTCCAGTGATAAAAGTTAGCCTCCAGAGCCACACTTTGAACAGTTTTGTGCCTCAGTTCACTATAAAATAGAGATGATGATGACAGGAGTCACACCTACTTCATAAGGCTAAGATTCGATGTTAAGATTTGATTAATGTATGTAAAATGCATGACATCCAGTATAACAGCGTAATAAATAATTAGATCTTCATTATCATTGTGCTTTTCCTTTGGATTTTGTTTTTTTACCACTCCACACCTCTTTCTTTTCACTTTTGAACTCTTATTCATCCCTCAAAACCCTACTCAAATCACACCTCTCTCAGGAAGCTGGCCTTGATTGCCCAATTTGGTTTTGAAGTACAAGATTGTCAGCTTTGATCACGTAGTTTTTGGCCACCTCCTCTACAGTCAATGCTCTTTGAGGTCAGAGAGTGAGAATCATCTGTGTCCGCAGACCTTAGCAGTGTGCTTAACACATAGTAGGTACCAAGCAAATATTTCTTCATTAAATGAAATGGCTTATCTTGAATAGGGAAGGTGGATTTTATACTAAATCTCAAAGTCCAGGCAGAATCTTAAAGGACAAAAATTGAAGGAGAATAAAGTCTGATGAGTGAAAAACTATGGTTTGCGCTTCTTTGGTAAAGTTGTGATTTCCTCCTCCTGCTAGTCCTTATTCTTCGGTTGGAAAATTTATTTCAGGAGTGCATTTTTGGTTTGAGTGTTGATGTCATGATCGTTATTCCTTCACCAAACTGATTTAAAGGGTCCCAACACAGAATTTCTACTTCATAGGTTACTATTGTCACGAAATCCAATAATGAATGTTTGGGAGCATCACCACCCCAAATGAATTATCTGCACAGCACTTATGTCAATTTAACACTTAACTCCTTTTCTGTCTTATGCTTTGGATTCTGAGCCCCTTGAGTACAGAGACAGTATCTTACTCGCCACTAAATTGCACACCCAGAAGTGTGTAGTCAAAGTAGCTGCTCGGTAGATCCTGGCTGATTGAATGAATGGATGAATTGCTGGATAAGAGTGTACGATTTTATCAACAAAATAATTTATTTTCACTTCCTCAGCATGCCTTCTGCAAACATGTATTTCTCTCTTTGATTAGCCTGCTTTCTATAGCTGGTTAACCAGCTGCACACAAATATCTGCCTGCTGATATTGCCCTCCCAAATTTTGTTTCAGGTGCTTCTTCCTTCACTTCAAAAGCTGACTAAATACCCAATATTGTCTCTCCACCTTAAGTTACACAATAATTAGATAAACCTCTATTACAGCAAAGATTGCATGCTGCTTGATATTTTTTCCTCTTTCCTGAGATCTTAAGGAACTCATCATTGTATTCCTGAGCTTTGAATGTACTCATTCTTGATCACATGTATGGCATAAACTTTTTCTATGTTGCTTCATAGAGGCTAACTGGTAGAACCAGGTGGTGCCGGGGAGATCATGAATAATTTTAAATTTATTTTAAAATTTATTAAAAAAAAAAATCAATGCACATTGGCCAAGTGCAGTGGCTCACACCTGTAACCCCAGCACTTTGGGAGGCCCAGGCAGGAGGATTGCTTGAGCCCAGGAATTGAAGACCAGCCTGAGCAACGTGGTAATTTGAAATTATTAAACTAATATTTTTGGCATATTCAACATACCTGAATAATACCTTATATGTAGATATAAGTGCATAATGTATTGTTAGACATTTACATTTAATTATGTCCCAAATAATTGAATTTAAAAGTATTTGGAAAATAATGTATATTTAAATAAATCTATATCCTTGCTCTCTTTTCTGATTTTAATTTTTAAAAAAGGTATTACACTCTGGAATTTTTCTTGACTTACATATGGTTCTATAATTTTTAAAAATATATTTTCCTCTTATAGCCTATAATATTAATATTACCAACACTGAGTATTATATTAATAGTGCTAGGTTGCTATTACTTAGAGTTTGAATTTTATAAGCTCTTATAACTGTTGTCAAATTATTTTTCAAACATTATCTGCCAGTTTATGTGCTTCTCAGCAATGGGTAGATTTACTAGTTTTATTTATGTATTTCCCAACATTAGGCACCATAATGTACTTTTTAAAATAATTTAGTAGAGGAAATAACATTTATTTTTGCTTTCATTTGCAACCTTTCACTATAAATGAAGTCGAACAATTTTCATCTTGCTTATACATTTTTATTTTCTTTTAGGTAAATTATCTTTTTTACATACTTTGTCCATAATGTGGTAAACTAATTTAGCAATTTGGGGGCATTAAAAATAATCACTAGATTTCAATAAACTAAATTTTTATAAGAGTATTTTTAATTATACCAATTCTCGTCACGCAGCTAGTGTTTACCTAGCTTAAAGCTCATGTCAATTACAGGAGTAGCCATTTCATTTGAGAAGGAAGTTGTAAAACTCAAATCATGGACCTATACTTGTTGTGATGAGAACCGATTAATATGGTGGATATTAATGTCCCCGTATCAATAAGCACCTGCTATCAATTACAATCCAGGGTCAGGGCAGCCGGACAGGTAGTTTCTGTTCTAGACCAAACCTAAGAGAAAGGTAGGCCACTTATCTCAGGTGAACACAAGGCTAATCAAACTCTGCTCTTTTCCCTATTTCACTTTTGTTTGCTTATTTAACCAGGCAAAAGTAGTTAACCACTCAGAGAAAACAGCTTCAACTCTGTTGACATAAAACTCATTTCACATGACCCACAGATAATCGTTGGCAGCCTTCAAAAGGGTACAAGCTCCTGCAACAACACCATTTCCTCAAATCCAACCGCAGTAGCAGCCCTACTTTCATCCATGCAAATTTTTTTTAAAGAACTAAATGACCTTTTATTTGTCAGGCAGTTTCCATGAAGTAGGCTTAAAAACAATCATTCATAAAATATCAGTTTTGGAGCCTAACTGATGACCACAGCTGAAGACATGCTAGAGCGATGGCTCTGTATCTTAGCTGCATATTGGACTCTTGTGGGAGCTTTAGAAGATAGTGATGGCTGCCTGTACCCCCACTTCCTTCGGGGCTCTGATGTAATCGGCCTGGGATAAAGCCTAGGCATGGGGATTTTTAAAAGGCCCCCTAAGCTAGGTTGAGAAACACTCACTGCTCTAGGGGAAGATAATGGATAGGGTTTGACTACTACCTGCTGCAGGTAGTTCCAATAATAAAAGATGAATGATAACACATATTAGTTTATTTCTCAAAGGAAAAGACTGATGAGGATGTTCTTGTCTATTTGTTTGTTTGAAGAAATGCCTGCAAAAATATCTAGAAATATAGAATAGATTCAAATGATGCAAGTTGATGAGATTTAGGGGAGAAAAATAGTTCATGTTTGATACTTTACATAAATGCTACTAAATTCTATTTGTGCCTATCAGCATACCAAATCTAAATCGGATATTTAGGTGCTTTTGCCAACCATCTGATCCACATTTATTATTTTAGCATGTTTAACTCTATCCTCGTTTTATACTCCTGTTCTTTTCAGTGATGCCCAGACTGCCTCCTTTATACACTTTCTTATCCCCAGTGCCTGGCAGTAGTGTCTGATAACATTCAGTAAATGGTTATTGACTGAATGAATGAATTTTTCTTTATTGTTTTGCTAGCTGGATAGGCTGTTAGTAGTAGTAGTGCCACAGTGACCTCTGTTGATGAAACCAGGAAGTGCAGAGAGAAACTCTTGGAAGAAAGGAGTTATTTTAATGACAGTCAAGTTGAGGTTGAAATGCGAGCTGTGCCCAGTCTCAGAACTGAAGAGAAAATGGTATGAAATGCGAATGTGTTCACAGCATATGGAGAGAGCAACAGCACCACTGGTCTGTCCCAGCGAGTAGGCCAGCTCAGCAGTTTTCTTAACAGCTTGGCTGATTCTTTCTCTCCATGGTCATATGCCAGGGGCATAAGCTTCGATTTGCTCTCCTAAATAATTTTACTAGTTTGTCATCATTAAAAACTTAAATATTTCATACTATGCATTGATTTTCATTTTTTTGTAGAGCCTGAATTTTGCCATGTTGCTCAGGTTGGTCTTCAATTCCTGTTCTCAAGCAGTCTGCCTGCCTGGGCCTCCCAAAGTGCTGGGGTTACAGGGTGAGCCACTGCACCTGGCCAATGTGCACTGATTTTTTTTTTTAAATAAACTACGCAAGACATTCTAATTAAGGTATCTAAAAAACTGCACTCCATTTAAAAAAAAAATCATCGTGCTTTAGAGTAGGTTTTTAAAACTGTTCTTGTTTTTTATTTTTATTCATACTTATTGTTTGCATACTGATACATGGAGCCATTGAACTGGTACCCATCTCTCCAGTTCCCTGTTTCCTCTCATACTCCTAGTACTTGGTGTAAAATTTAGGGGGAAGAGAAAATAAAAGAGGCAGACTTTGATAACTGCTTAAGAAATTAAGTACAAGGATATTTAATCCCATGAAAGAAGTAAAAACAGGAATATTGCCACCAAATAATAAGCACTGATAATATAGGGGACCAGCCAGCTAAGAGTTAACTTTGAGACTCTAGCACTAAACTGGGTGTCCCAGTTTCAACCTTTGCACCGACTGAATCAGTTAACTTTCTGCCTAATTAACTCAAACTTCAGACGGGATTATACATACAACATCCCATATGGACTGTGGGCCTACTTCCCCATCTAATCAGAAGATACAAAACTGCTTATCAGCATACAACTGATTACTTAGGGTTTAAAGGAAAAAAAGGGAGGTGAGGTATATCTTTGAATAGAAATGTCATATTGATACAAATGTTACCTGAACAAAACAATGATGATTTTAGAGGTGGTAAGAAAGAAAAGAGTACATAACATGCCAGTTAAATCATTAAAACATCATCTGCTTTGAATGAAGAATGAAAATACACTGGATCCTCACCTCATTGCCATCTTTGGGGTTTTGGTCCTGTGACCACTTTCACAGTGGGTCTGTGTTGTAGGCCTCCAAATAGCAATAAAGGAACCGTCGGCCATCAGACCCTGGTGGAATTCAAAACAAAGAGTTCCGTATCAAATTATCCAACTATTTTTGTAAGACTCCAGGTTTAGTCTGTTTATTTTTCTTTACACACCCTGTCCCCAAAACTTTTGAAGAGTGCTAAAAATGATACAAAACCCAAGAAGATAACAATAATAAAGTAGAAGGAAGGAAACCAAAGATGGGGCCGTAAAATGGAGCCAGTAAAGACGTTAAGAATATGCATAACCATGGTATCTATGTGCATGCTTACACACGAACGGACCACATATACTAAAAGCCACACTGCAGAATAACCTGGTCAAGAACTCCTTCACATAACCTAAAAACAAATACGTTTCCCAGAAGACAACCAACTCTTCCTGGTATTAGACCAGAAAAAAGAAAAACATGCTTGGGTTCTTTGTGAAAAGAGAAACTATGTGGTACAATAAACAACGTCCTTAACAATTATCGTGATGCGAAGTTGCATAAGGGCTTTTCCTGAAATTGCTCCTCTTGAGGGGGAGCCCCGTTCAATCTGAGTTTCAGATAAACAAAGGAGACATACGTATACTAAACAATTACTCCTGGTTTATCTATGATTCGAATTTCAGTGGGCATTTGTAATTATATTTGCTAAATCTGGCAACCGTGGATGAAAGCCTCGTATCAAAAGGCAGATCCCTACATCTGTGCATACATAATATCCCTGTTGAAAATATACAGCACCATGCAGGGACCAGCCCAGATCAGTGCTACAGCTTAGTGAGTTTAAGTACTCGGGGTAAAAAAAAAATTCAACCACACTCAAAAATTAAAACATTTGATGAGAAAGCACTTTTGGGGGAGTTGAGGACTGGTGAAAGTTCTATGTAAAAGTACATGGAAATTGACTATTTTGTCAGGTCATTACTGCTTACCTACAAACAATTCGTGGAACACTAGTGTTTTAGCTTGTTTACTTTTTTTTTTTTTGGTACCATATAAAGGATGGGGCACTGACATAGTTTAATATCTTAAATTATATATATAGTTAATATCTTAAAATAGAGCTTGTAACCTATATAATGGATTGTGAGAACCTAGCAAAACATTCCAAATGCATTTTACAGCATTAATTATTGATTAAAAAAATGGACAAAAATGACATTGCAAAAATTTTTGCATTTTTACTTTGAATGTTTTTGATCTGGCTATATAATAATCAATATCTCAAAGCTCATGAATATTTCTAAATGATTTAATGACTTAATAATTAGTTAATATTATTTATATTTACTAATATTAATATCTAATTATCTAATATTAGATATTAATATTAGATGACTAAACTAGTTAGTAAAATATTTTAAAACTACATGTAGATACTTACAAAATGTATTATCAAGGCCAATTAATTTCCTTCCTCTTTGTAGATGAATTGCTCCTATCATGGTTGTTAATATTAGGAAGAAAAATATAGCTACTTAGATCATCTAATAACTTATTCTGTTAATTTTAGTATGAAGCAATTAAACTTTGCATTTTCTCAATGTAGTTACTTAAACACAAATCAAGATGTAGGACTTAATTTTCTCTTTCCTCACATCCAACTCAGTACATATTCTAAAGACAGTTTTAAAAATCTGAATCCCAAAATGTTGCATCTGTAATAAAATTGATTCCCTATACATTCGAATTCAAAATTACTCTTGATCTGACATTCAAGAATTTTATGGAATTTACTAAAGAAAACAAAATATTTGAACATTCCTCACAGAACATAAATCCTGGCCATAATTTACTTGACAATGTCCCTATTGATGAACACACTTATTTTGTTTCTCACCTTTTGTTTTATAAACAATGCAGCCCAGAATATCCCTGCAAATCTATTTTGCACATGTGTATTAGTATAGCTGTACACGGAGTCCTAGAAGGTCAGTAGTGGGCTCGAATAGATTCCCCAGTTTTACGTTTAATAGAAATTGCCAAATTGCCCCTAAATAAATTAGATCAATTTTCTGTCTAGCCACAGAATAAGAGAATGTTGTCCAGCATCCTTAGTAACAACATAGTTAGTAACTGCAGGTTTTAACTTTTTCCAGTTTTATAGGTAAAAGAAACAATAACTCCATCTTTTTTTTTTTGAAATACACTTTCTCTTTGTCACCCAGGCTGGAGTGCAATGGCACAATCTTGGCTCACTGCAACCTCCGCATCCCAGTTCAAGTGAGTCTCCTCCCTCAGCCTCCCAAGTAGCTGGGATGACAGGAGCACTCCACCAACCCCAGCTAATTTTTTACATTTGTGGCAGAGTCGGGGTTTCGCCATATTGGCCAGGCTGGTCTCAAACTCCGAACCTCAAGTGATCTCTCTGCCTCGGCCTCCCAAAGTGCTGGGATTACAGGTGCGAGCCACTGTGCCCGGCCTTCTCCATCTTATATCAATTTGGAATGCATCAGTTATAAATGCAGTTGTAGTTGATACCTGTCAATTTTCAGCTCCTGGCATTCATCCCCCATGCTCAGCTCCCTCTCACACTTCCCACTGCTATGGGATCATCTTTTGAGGATGGCTCCATTGTGTGTCAGTGGTAGGTGGTAGAGTGCAGCAAGACAGTGGATACAATGTGGCTTACCCTTGGACAATACGACTCTCTTGTGGACACTGATTCTTTAGAGAGGGACCCAAGGGCGATGGTGCAGGTTGGAGCCACAGCTGCTGCAGTGGCGGCTGCTGCATGAGTGTGTGGAGGCTACAGTGTGATGTTGTCTGTGATCCTTGCAGCACAGTGCTCCAGAGATCTGTGGCACTGGTCTAGTCTGGAACATAAGCTGGTATGCTCTGAGCCCCGGATACTTTTCCAATGCATTCAGTTCCTCTTTAAGATAATCAATGCATTCCTTCTCCTTGCAACCACAAATGCTGCCACGATTATATAGAGAGAGGTTCATCATAATATTCCTTTAAATTGCAAAACCTTTAAATAGTGAATCCTTCCAGTGCATGAAGATGATTTGCTAATTGGCTTATCAAATTCCCAGGAATTCATCTATGGTAATAAGCAAAGTGAATCTAAATTTTTAAAGAACTGTTAGAGTGAACACAACTAGAGAACAGTCATATCAGCTCTCAGTGGGACTGGGCATTTTTTAACAAAAAATGTTACACCATGACATAAATTGGGAGGGACACACACAATACACAAACGGTGTTCAAGATTTCAAATACAGGACAGGGTCATGAGAACTAACATTTGTTGATCTCTGGCTTTCAAGATTAGAAAAAATAAAGATGGCTGGGTGCAGTGGCTCACGCCTGTAATCCCAGCGCTTTGGGAGGCCGAGGTGGGTGGATTACAAGGTCAGGAGTTGAAGACCAGTCTGGCTAAGATGGTGAAACCCCGTCTCTACTAAAAACACAAAAGTTAGCCGGGCATGGTGGCAGGTGCCTATAATCCCAGCTACTCGGGAGGCTGAGGCAGGAGAATCGCTTGAATCTAGGGGGCAGAGGTTGCAGTGAGTTGAGATCACACCACTGTACTCCAGCCTGGGTGACAGAGTGAGACTCTGTCTCAAAAAAAAAAAAAAAAAAAAAACCAGAAAAGAAAAAAGAAAAAATACTTTCATTTCAATTTAGCAATCAGCTAGCAAAAACAAAGTATTTGCTTCATTTGTGTTTGGACTGTACCAAATACCAATACCTATGCCATGTAAGTAGATGGCGCTCCCCATGGTCTGTGCTGCTCTTGTGCCATTAGCCAGGGGAGCACCCTGTCAGCCTCTAGAGGCTCCCAACTACAGCGGACCACGTAGAGCAGCATCTTGTTAGGTCGCAGTTGTAGCCTCTTGTGTTCTACGTGCACTTCAGTATTCTTCATAAAGTAGCCCCAGGTCTTTGGAAGATCTCACTGTGTCTACCTCAGGAACATTTGTAGCATTCATTGCACAAATCCCTTCTGTATGCTATATAAGGCACTATTTCTGTTTGTTATTAAGTTTTGTATAGGTTTTCCCTATAACCTTCCCTTATCACATGGTTGCATACATAATACAGCAGTTGCTGTATTATGTTGAAGTGTAGTTTTGAATTTTGATTATTTCTTCCCTTCTCTATGTCTCTCTTTCTCTCTCTCTCTCTTTCTCGCTGTCTTTCTCTCTCTCTCTCTCATCTATCTGTCTCTATATATACATCCCTCCCTTTGGCCAAAGCAATCTTTTATTGATATATAATTTACCTTAATGCATAGACGTTAAGATTTTGAATATTTAGCCTGATTAGTTTTATCAATTGTAGACACTCATTTAACCACCACCCATAAGGAAATAGTGAGCATTTCCCAAACCCCAGAAAATCCTCTCATGCTCCTTTCTAGTCAACTCTGCAACCTTCCCCCAAGAGAAAAACACCATTTTAATTTCTGTCACATAGTTGTGTTCTGGCTATACTGACCTTCATGTGAATTGAATCACGTGACTTTTCTGTTATGTTTCTGAAGTTTATCCAAATTGGTGTGTGTGTCAGCAGATTGTTTCTTTTCACTGAGGAGTATTTTACTTTGACTCAATGTGTATGAATGAACACACCACAATTCATTGATCCACTCTCCTGTTGATGGGCATTTGAGTTGTCTCCAGTTTGAGACAATTATGAATGACGCTACCATGACGTTTTTCTCTAAGTCTTTTTGTGGAGTGGACATAGAGTCTTTCCTTCTCTCGAGTAATACCTAGGAGTTAAATCTCTGGGTCATGGAGTAAGTTTAACTTTATAGGAAATTGCAAAAGGCTTCTCCAATGTGGTTGGACATTGTTATCCTCCTACCAGCAATAGATGAGAGTCCCAGTTGCTTCACTTACTAACATTTAGCTTTGTCAGATTTTTCTATAAGAGTCACCCTACTGTACGTAAAACAGTATCTCATTGAGATTTTAATTGGCATTTCCTGATGGTTAATGATATTAAGCATCTTTTCATGTGCATATCTTCTTTTGGGAAATATTTATCCAAGTCTAATAGGGTGGCCATTCTTAACTGG